AGTTTTACTGGAAATCACACGAAACAATTTAGAAGGCTTTCAAATTAAAATCCACAATAGTGTTCCCAGGAGATATGTGGAGACTGGGATACCTCTAACCAACAATGAACCAGTTGCCATCAAGTAGATCACCAGGCCTTTCTTTCAAGATACCTCTGAGTGCTAACCAACCTTTTGGTTAGCAGCCGATCACTTAACTGTCTGCACCACCCAGGGACTCCAAGGAATAACCCTGTTGTTTTTGTTGTTATTGTGTGCTGTTGAGTTGATTCGGACTCATAGCAACCCTATAGGACAGAGTAGAACCGCTCCATAGGGTTTCCTAGGCTGTAATCTTTACGGGAGAAAATCGCCAGGACTTTTCTCCCGAAGAGCGGATGGTGGTTTCAAACCACTGACCTTTCAGTTAGCAGCCAAGCACTTAACCAATGTGCTACCAGGGCTCCTTGGAATAAACCTAGGAGCATTCATTTTACCCACAGAGTTGTGAGGAAATGCTAAGTTAGGGTACATTATTTTTAAATCATAGGAGAACGGGTGAAGTATGTTATAAAATGTGAGTTTGCATGAATTTTTAAGATAGTGTGAAAGACTTCAAACAGATTCAAATATTTCCCCACGTTTGTACAAATTCATATGCCTCTGTCTTAGGAATAGTTCATGGGGAACATTCTATGCAGTACTGATGGGTAGGAGTCCAGAACCTGGGTTCTAGTCTTTGTTCTGCCATAACTGGCTGCATGACCCTCGGCAAGTCCCTCAAACCCTGTGGGCCCCAGTTACATAAACTCAGTGGTAGAGTTTGAGGGTCAGAGTCAATGCTGATAAGGTTTTCTCCTGATCCAACACAGCCAGATCTTCCCTTACTGTCTTCTGTGTTTGCCTCTTGTTCAAGACATTGTGTTGTATTTTCTACTGGGAACAGCTCAAAACATGGAACTCTTTGATCTGTTGTTCTGCTTGTTGGAAATTGCCACATTCAACTGAATCTGGATAGCTACAGAACTTGCATCTTTTTAAAAACTTTTCTTAGGAACAATAATCTTTTGATCATGTTTAAAATTTTTACTGTTCTTCCAAAAAAAATTGCAGGAACAAGTATGCAGAAACACAATGGAAGTCCACAAAGAAGCCATGGTTCAGTATAGATTTCTCTGTACTTAGTTGTTATTAATGACTATTTAATTACTTTGGACTTTGGACTTGCCAGCATGGTCCTTGTCACTGATAAAGTGGACCAGATGATTCCTGAGAAAGCTCAAGCAAAAAGATGAGGTGGGAA